ACTTATTTTTCAATCTTAACATCAAGAGCACTGGACATTTTGCTTCCTTGTCTTTTCGCCATTGAAATGAACCCCTTCAGGAGCATAAAGGCACATGTGCCTTTGTCAATACATTCAACACCAGGCACAGTTAGCAGTATGACTTAAATCTTCTGACTGCGCCACGCAATCCAGGTGCATTTGAGGCTTAAGAGAACAACTTACCCAAGCTTTTGTTGCAAATTGTTTTTGCTGACACAGAATTTATTTGCAAGATGCAATATGGCAATCTTCAATAATAGATAACAAGGTGTAGAGCTGGATGAACACAGCAGGCCAAGCAGCATCAGAGGAGCAGGAAAGCTGACGTTTCGGGCCTAGCCCCTTCTTCAGAAATGGGGGAGCGGAAAGGGGTTCTGAAATAAATAGGGATAAATAAATGAAATAAATAAATCTAGGCCCGAAACGTCAGCTTTCCTGCTCCTCTGATGCTGCTTGACCTGCTGTGTTCATCCAGCTCTACACCTTGTTATCTCAGATTCTCTAGCATCTGCAGTTCCTACTATCTCTGGCAATCCTCACCCTTCCCTTTCTTCTCTGCCTTATATTGATTTGTTTTATTTTGGTTAAAAATATCCTAGAAAATCAACAAAAATAAAAGACAATCAGGTATTGAAAAGTTACCTCCCCTGCAAACATAACCCCAGTGTGGCCAGTGAACATAGAACGTTACAGCGCAGTACAGGCCCTTCGGCCCTCGATGTTGCACCGACCTGTGAAACCAATCTGAAGCCCATCAAACCTAAACTATTCCATTATCATCCATATGTTTATCCAATGATCATTTAAATGCCCTTAAAGTTGGCGAGTCTACTACTTTTGCAGGCAGGGCATTCCACGCCCTTACTACTCTCTGAGTAAAGAACCTACCTCTGACATCTGTCCTATATCTATCACCCCTCAATTTAAAGCTATGTCCCCTCATGTTAGCCATCACCATCCGAGGAAAAAGGCTCCCACTGTCCACCCTATCTAATCCTCTGATCATCTTGTATGTCTGTATTAAGTCACCTCTTAACCTTCTTCTCTCTAACGAAAACAGCCTCAAGTCCCTCAGCCTTTCCTCATAAGACCTTCCCTCCATACCAGGCAACATCCTGGTAAATCTCCTCTGCACCCTTTCCAATGCTTCCACATCCTTCCTATAATGCGGTGACCAGAACTGTACGCAATACTCCAAGTGCGGCCGCACCAGAGTTTTGTACAGCTGCAACATGACCTCATGGCTCCGAAACTCAATCCCTCTAGCAATAAAACCTAACACACCGTACGCCTTCTTAACAACGCTATCAACCTGGGTGGCAACTTTCAGTGATCTATGCACATGGACACCGAGATCTCTCTGCTCATCCACGCTACCAAGAATCTTACCATTAGCCCAGTACTCTGTATTCCTGTTACTCCTTCCAAAGTGAATCACCTCACAGCCAATTTCTGATCCAAAAAGCTAAATCACCCTCAATCCCATGCCTCCGTATTTTCTGCAATAGCCTACCACGGGGAACCTTATCAAACGCTTTACTGAAATCCATATACACCACATCAACCGCTTTACCCTCATCCACCTGTTTGGTTACCTTCTCAAAGAACTCAATAAGGTTTGTGAGGTACGACCTACCCTTCACAAAACCGTGTTGACTATCCCTAATCAAATTATTCCTTTCTAGATGATTATAAATCCTATCTCTTATAATCCTTTCCAACACTTTACCCACAACCGAAGTAAGGCTCATTGGTCTATAATTACCAGGGTTGTCTCTACTCCCCTTCTTGAACAAGGGGACAACATTTGCTAGTCTCCAACATTTACACTTTCAAACGTTAAAGCTTAGTCTCATATTTATTTGTGTACTGCGTCCTGAATGGTCTGATTAGCCATCTTTTTTATTTGACTGCAGCTGTAGCATCTGCCTCCTGAGAGCACCGCTCTCTGAACCCTGGGTTGACATCCAGAGACTTGTGCCTAATGGGAATGATGTAGCAATCCTTCATTGAATTTAACCAATCTCCTCCTGATTGACAACCCGTGCCTGCAAGAAGGAACTTTATTAGGGACACAATCCAAAACACAGTCTGATGAATGTAAAGTCAGTCAAAGCAAAGAGTTGCCTCATGCTGTTTGGATTTTAAAAAATTGCATCTAAGAGTGATTTGAAAATAAGAATAATAGTGAAAGGGTTACCCCAATCATGGGAATTTCTGCCAGTGTTTAACTTTGTTTAATTTGGGATGAGACGTCTAAATAAACCTTTTTAATTGAAATATGACACAGGTTTTCATGAAACTGAGCACTAGTTCACAGGTGTACACACAACGTATCAGTAAAGAATTAGAGACTTTTTTTAGTTTCAATTTTTTAGTCATAAAAGACCACCAATAACCTGATGAAACTATTTGTTCCTTCCACACTGTAGGGATTCTATGATCTAAACAAATATTGCTCTCAATTCTGATCTGACCTTACCTAAACCACCTCACTCTTGTTTTGCAAATCCTGCGGTGACTTTAGACCTCATATTTGTAATCTCTACTAGGTCCACAATCTTGCAAGATACCTGCATTCCTGTAATGCTGGCCTCTTGTATATCCTTGATCTTAGTCATGCTGCCATTTTTTTTTTGTTTTGTTCCTTGGGTGTGGATGTCACAGGCAAGGCCAGCATTTGTTGCCAATCCCTAATTGCCCTTAAACTGAGTAGGCTTACTAGGCCATTTCAGAGGCCAGTTAAGCAGCAAGCACATTACTGTAGTGATTGTAATGAGATCAGCCAGCTGGACAATATGAAGAAGGCTCTAGACCCAAAACATCAGCTTTCCTGCTCCTCTGATGCTGCTTGGCCTGCTGTGTTCATCCAGTTGTACACCTTGTTATCTCAGATTCTCCAGCATCTGCAGTTCCTACTATCTATGGAATATCAGTTCCCTGATTGGAGCTGTTAATCTGGTTGAATCAGGGAACCCTGGCTGACAGATGAAAAGAGGAATGTCAGAGTTTCTGTGACTCTGAGAGCTAACTGAAGTACTAGAGTCATGAATTCTTCTTGAGTAAATAAATGGTGATGGGATACCGGCCTCTGTGGAGACTTTTCAATTACCATGGGTTTTGCTTCATGCATTTATCATATTCTTTCCTGCAGACATTAGTGAAACAGATGTGTTTTTAATGACAATCAACCCTGGTTTAATGGTCACTATTACTGAGATCAGCTTTAGCTGACTGTCTCTTGTAATACAGTGGTAGTGTCCCTGCTCCTGAGCCAGTAGACCTGACTTAAAGACCCACTTGGTTGAGAGAAAAGACATAAGGTCCCTGGAGAGGTTGATTTAAAAATCCTTTTATTTTTCAGCTGACTAGGCCCTAAACTCTGAAATTTCCTTACTAAATGCCTCCACCATATTTTCCTTCCTTAAGACATTTCCTGCAACTTGCCTCTTTGATCATCTGCCCTAAAATCTCCTTAAGTGTTTCAGTGTCATACTTTGTTTCATAATACCTCTGAGAACTGCTTTAGGACTTCAGAAGTGCTATTCAAATACAAGTTGTGGTTGAATGAGATAATTTAGTTTATCCACACAAGGCCAATTTCCATGTGTAGGTGGAACAGAGATTTATATAATATTATAAGTATAATTGTGCAAAAATGCAGAATGCACGTATGGAAATGAACTTCAATCGCAGAAATAGAAATTCCTTTCCCTGTTGCATCGACTTTGACTTTCTTTGAACTAGGTTCATGTCTACATTCAAAATATTAGAGTTGAATTAGCTTAAAACCTTGGTGCATATCTGATGATATCTATAAAATGAACAAACTGATTAAACTTATGATGATGGATTTGTTCTCAGAACTTGAACAGCTGTAACATTTATTGCCATTTCTTAAATACTCTGAGAAGATGACTGTTAGCTTTCAGCAATAGCTTGTTGGACCACTTCATAGAACCCCCACAGTGTGGAAACAGGCCCTTTGGCCCAACAAGTTCACACCGACCCTCAGCATCCCACCCAGACCTATTCCCCAAACTCACCTAATCTACACATTCCTGAACACTTTGGGCAATTTAGCAGGCCCAGTCCACTACCCTGCACACCTTTGGACTGTGGGAGGAAACCGGAGCACCCGGAGGAAACCCACGCAGACAAGGGGAGAATGTACAAACTCCACACAGACAGTTGCCTGAGAGGGAATTGAACCCAGGTCCCTGGTGCTGTGAGGTGCCAGGAAGTCTTCACAAGTATCTAAAGATCTTCTGTTCCCACGATACTTGTTGTTATGTATTTGGAAAGCCTGGGTTCTCAATGCCAGTTCTAAAGCATGTACAAAAATTTCACCTTAAAACTTGTTAAATTTTCATTTCCAAGTGGGCTGTGCTATCACTCTGATTTGATTTATTATTGTCACATGTACTGAGGTACGGTGAAAAGTATTGTACTGCGTGCTAACCAGACAAATCATACCTTACATAAGTACATCAGGGTAATAGAACAGAATGCAGAATGTAGTGTTAACAGCTACAGAGAAAGATCAGCTCTACTATATGAGAAGTCTGTTTATAAGTTTGATGTCAGCAGGGAAGAACTCATTCTATCTACTTGATGGGATGACCTCTTACCGTCCCAATAACAGACATTTAGCTAACTGAACTACAGTTACTTGTTTAGTCCCTTTGCCTTTTTGGATATATATGTCTCATGATGAGTTTTCCGATCCTCTGGCACTTTTCCAGAATGTAACAATTCTTGGACGGTTACTACCAGTGCATCCACCATCTATGTAGCTACTTCCTTTAAAATCTAGGATGCATCCCATCAGATCCAGGGGACCTATTGGTCTTTAGCCCCATTAGTTCCTCCAGTACTTTTTCTTCAGTGAATGGACGTAAAGTAAACTGTTAAATCAGATTATACACACCGAACTAAATGTTCCAAACTTAATTGGGTTTTTAGTTAAAAGTTATTACCTTCTGAAGCAAAGTTTTAAAGAAAATTATCTTCAGATCATTGCTTTTAAAACTGATTACCCTGAGTAAGGAGAGACAGGGGCTTGTTGGAACCTCCAGATTTCAGTGCAGCGAGCAGATGTTAGTATCTTCCTACAGCTCCAAACTTCCATTGCTGGTATAGTACATTCTGTCTTAACAAGAGAACAGCTTTCATTCAACTGGGTGACACAATCTGTGGAATGACTGGAGTGTATCAATATTTGCACAGTTCAAGATTACAACATAACATTTTTTGTTTGCACTCTTAGATAATGTTGAATGTCAAACAGGTGAAGGACATGATTCTGTGTCAATTAATCTGGAGGTTCCAACAAGCCCCTGGATGAGTGCAGCTCCAACAACACTCAAGGAACTTTACACCATCCAGGATAAAGCAGCCCGCAAACGCAAACATTCACTCCCTTCACCACCAATGTTCAAAAGTGACAGTGTGTACCAAGTACAAGATGCACTGCAGAAATTCATCAAGGCTTCCTTCAAATCCACAGCCACTTCCAACTAGAAAGACAAAGGCAGTAGATATATTGTTGCTAATGGTCTGATACTTTGATAATTCTCTCAAGTACATTTGTACTGGGGCGAGTTTGCTTTCAATGGTATATGGGTGGTAAATATAGAAAGTTTGCATTTTTCAGATGCAACTCAAAAGTTGACTAATACGTGAAGCATATGGAAAATGAATGAGATTTTGGCCAAAAAATCAGCAATTGACTTTTGCTTGATTGGCCATTACCTGACTGTACACTGTACTCAGTGGATTTACACCTTTGGAAATGGTAATCTGGATTCAATGCAGACCATCATGCAAGAACTGTGGTGCCCAGGAACATTTAGCTATAGGAGATGCCCAAAGTCAGTCTCCTAACAGTTATAAATACTCCCTAATTAAATCAGAGTGGAAGAGTTTGTTTCAGGACTCCCAGCCAGCAGTGGTGGGACATTAATTAGGTTCATTCATGAAACAATTGACACCCATTATCCCTGATGGGTGGCGGCACTGTGATTAAATGAGGGATGCATAGATTTCCTGTGCCTTCAGAAGGTCACCTAGCAACTCTGTTTAGTTGGCCATGACCTCAGTAAGGAGGTGAGTGTTCTCTATTATAAGGCACTCAGTGTCCGATTGAGAGACTCACATTCACCATCCACCCTCCCACTGTATCTCTGATCCTTCAACTCCTCTCCCCTCACTCTTTCCAGTGACTCCTGAACTCATGATTCCCATCCTTTGGTCATGGTACCATGATAATACTGGGCTCTACTGAGTTCATTGCCAGGCTCTGTCGCCATTGTCACTGGGGTTGAGGGCATTGATCTTATTAATCAGCCATGATCTCATCGAATGCGGGAGCAGGCTCAAACAGACTGAGTGGCCTACTTTTGTTCCTTGTACGTATGTTCTCTGACTTGTGGGCAGGGACAGAAAGTAGCCCAGGTCCCTGTATTTGAACAGATCTTTTATAAGTTCTGAAGTAATCAATCACCTATATGTCTTCATTACACTCACAATGATATCAAATAGTTTATTACAAACATGATTGGGGTTTTGTTTGTATAAATTGGTGCTGTTCCCATGGTTATGTTGGACTAGCAGTTTGATCGTCATGAACTCAAGTCCCAATTTGGTCAGTTGTGAAGCTGGGTTAAATAAATACACGCACCAGAAAAATTAACATTGAAAGCTGTTGAATGTTTAATGAAGTCCGATTGGTACATGGATATCCTCCAGGAGACAGAATCACCCATTCTTGATCTAGCCTCCATGACTTCAATCCCATGCTCTTCACTCTTTATCACTTAGAGCAACCAGGGATGAATAATTCTGGCAATTTTCTATTCCTTATGCCAACCATTTAGACCATTTGTAATGCCATTGGACCCATTAAGTTAAAAGGATATAGGTAAAGGTACTGTGGGCTGCTGTCTCAATAGACAGAGACAAGTGCTAGTGATTTAACCTGAGGGTCACCATGCCTCAGGAATGGGCAGTGTTTGAGAAGGAGACTCCTTCATAGTAATCTCAGCTAGGAATTGAACCAACACTGTTAGTAGGTACCACACTGCATTGCAGATCAACTGTCCAGCCACCTGAGCTATGCAACCCAAACAGAGATGATGGCCTAGAGATATCATTGCTTAGACTATTAATCCAGAGACCCAGGTAATGTTCTGGGTCCCGGGTTTGAATCCTGATACAGCAAATGATGAAATTTGTATTCAATCCAAATCTTGAATTGAATCTAATGATGACCATGAAACCATTAGTGGCTGTTGGGGAAAAGCCCATCTGGTTCATTAATATTCTTAAGGAAGGAAGAAGACTGCTGTCCCTACCCAGTCTGGCTAACATGGTCGATTCTGAACTGCCCTCTGACATAATTAGGGATGGGCAATAAATGCTGGCCTAGCCAGCAATATCCACATCCTGTGAATGAATCAAAAAGAAATGGTAACAAAAGAACAACTAAAATGCAGAAGTATATACAGGTAGCAGGGCAGAGTTTTGTATAAAATCAATGGCGAAATAGGAACACCTCCATTTCAAATCTGAGAACATCTGGACTTTCTTGTCTGTGCTGTGCCCTTCATGTTAAATGAACAACCAAATCTGCAATATTTTCTTTTTCAGATATAGACCTGTAAAATATGTAATGTGTGTTAGTGCTAATACCTCAGCCAAAATACTTGCACAAATGTTATAATTTATGAATGAAAATAGAATTTATATCTCACTACTATAAATACAATCATCATTTCCAGGCTCTAACCTCTAACCAGGAGGATCACTGGTCTCCAACTATTCTATACATTCCTGCATTACCTTGCACTTGAACAGTTTCAGAATTCTGAACTGAACTTGGGGTAATCATTAACAACTTAATTAGTTAACAAACTTGAGTAATCTTGAGAAGTCAATATAGATGTGGAACTTCATTGTTTTCCGTAGGGTGTATCCTGGCAGGCAATGATGTAAAGATTAATATGCTGTTCTCACATAATACAGTCATTAATGATTAGCCACATTGAGCCTGATATTTGATTCATGTAGGTGCTGATGTTACCAGCATTGTTAAGACAATCCATCCTATCCACTCTTCAGGTTTGAACCATACGCTTTGCATTTCAAAAGAAGCAGATAGATTAAAGTAATATTTTCTGGGATTTGCTCAATCTTAGATAAAAGGAATTATGAGGATAGCATCATGTTTTGTTTTAAAAACAAAAATTGTTTGGCATTCTGGCAAAAGCACATCCATAGCTCATCCATAATAAATTCTGGGAAGAGATGGTGGACCATCGTCTTGAATGCTTGCAGTCCATGTGATGATGTTGTCCCCTCAGAAGGATTAGGTAAGGGATCCGTTTTTTTTCTTGAAATTGACACAGCTCTTGTGTGTTTTGAAGTGATTCACCTGTAAATGTCTTAAGGAATAATATATAAATGCATCATTTCACCTTCGTTCAGATTCTGAGCATCAATGTAGCTTTTGGCCATGATTGAAGGCACGGTGACTCAGTGGTTAGCACTGCTGCCTCACAGCGCCAGGGACCCAGGTTCAATTCCAGCTTTGGGCGACTGTCTGTGTGCAGTTTGCACATTCTCCCCGTGTCTGCGTGGGTTTCCTCCCACAGTCCAAAGATATGCAGGCTAGGTCAGTTGGCCATACTAAATTGCCCCTAGTGTCTAGGGTGGGAAATGCAGGGCTGGTTTAGAGGGTGGGTCTGGGTGGGATGCTCTTCGGAGGGTCAGTGAGGACTGGCCTGCTTCTGCACTGTAGGGATTCTATGAAGGGGAATCTAAATTTCAAGATGGCCAAGACATGGATTAGGAAGGCTATGATGTTGAATATTTAAAGGTGAGATGGATTGGAAAGTGATACAAGTACCAAAGTGTTTTGCATGGGCTGTAGAATGTGTCAGCTGGATCAATGGTGCACTATAAAGGGGTTAGTTCTGACTCTGAAATGTTAATGATACATAGCGTGCATCTTATACCATCGAAAGAAATCATGCATGTTGGATGAACTTACTGTCTCTTGCAGTCTTGTGGCGAGATTACCCCACAGTAAGATGTTTCTTAAAGAAAATAAATATTTTAGTTGCATTAACAGACCCTGCAAATACTCTTCAGTGGCACAAGGAGACAAGAACATTATAAGGGCTAGCACATTTACCTCTGAATTAGTGATTCTGGGTTCAAATTACAATCCAGAAACTCAAACACATAATTTTAACTGATATCTCAATTCAGCAAGTGGGCCAGTGTTGCAAGTGAGAGGTTTCTGAGGAGCCATTAATATAAGGTCCATTTCTCTCCTCAGGCTGCTGTAACTTAGCCTGTGGAACAATTTTGAAGGAGAAGAAGGCAGTTCTCCTGGCATCCTGAACAATAATTATCCCTTAACAAACATCACTTAAAAACAAGGGACATTTACTCAGTCATTATCCCTTTGCCTAATTGTGTGAGCTTGTTGTATTTCCTGCGTAACAAAAATAGCTACAGTTCAAACGTGCCTCATTGGCTGTAAAACATCTCAAGATCTTCAAACACACGTTGTAAATGTGTGTCATACCAAATACAAACAGTTTACATCTAAAGCTTATGGCAGGGTACAGCTGTTGCTTTAGGTACAAGTGGGAATTGCATTTGTACCCATTGTGAATAGTATTCTTCCTACAGCAATTTTCCGCACAAACTCATTTGCAAACTGGTGATTGTAAAATCTCCTATTGGCAGCCTATAAATGTTCCTTGATTAATATTCAAGATTAGCAACTTGGCAAAGATTGATTAATGCAGTTGCAATTGATTCTTCACAAAATATATGCATTTTAATTATTGTGTCAATCCATTGCCTGTGAACCATCTGATTTTGAATTACTGGAAGTGTTTCTTCTAAAAAAATGTCTTAGCATAAAAGCATAGTACTGTAGATACTGAAAATCTATAATCTATAATAAAAAAAACAGGAAACGTTGGAAATACTCAGCAACTTAACATATGGTGGCTCAGTAGTCAGCGCTGCTGCCTCACATCACTAGGGACCTGGGTTCAATTCCACCCTTGGGTGACTGTCTGTGTGAAGTTTGCACGTTCTCCCTGTCTCTGAGTGGGTTTCCTCTGGGTGCTCCGGTTTCCTCCCA